TTCTGCGTATATATATAACATAACGCGACAGACTGCAAGCGACATCTGTCAAATATTAAAATACACACGTCATTCAGCTATATGCTATAGTAAGCCGTTCTGAACAGTTTCTGCGTATATATATAATATAACGCGACAGACTGCAAGCGACATCTGTCAAATATTAAAATACACACGTTAGTATGGACGCAGTTATGTAGTTGTGCAGCTGCCTCAATAACTGCGTCCTTAAGAACATGTGTAATATAATATTTAACAGATGTCGTTTGCAGTCTGTCGCACTCTATGTGTTCCGGACGTGATGGAAAAAAGCAGTAGGAGGGTGATTCTCAGCACCACAGTAGGCAATGCAATTTGTACCCCCACTTAAGATACTAATTTCCTAAAACATTTCGAAACAAAATCTTTTTTAATGTATTTTATTCTGCATTTATAAATATGTATGTACTTCTGCGGATACAAAATCATTGCCAAGAATTTTTAAAATAAGTTTCTTAAATGCAATAAACCTCCAAATAATATTATTTATAACTGAATATTCAGTTCCTAGCTTTTTATATATACACACTTAAGCCGTTTTCAAGATAAGAAAATAAACCTATTAAAAGACAATGGCAACCAACCATTTTGAAACTACTTTGTCGTCAAACATATGAATTCCAAACTGTCGTTACCTTGTATTCTATGAGGGTTGATAGAAATTGTAGACACGAATTTCAATAGGAATACGAATTAATAATTAAAATTTTCATTTCTTGTGTCTATTTATAGATAAAATAAAAAAAATATATATAAATTTAAATGATATTTACAGAGCAAAGCATATGAAATATATGTTAATATATTAAAATATGAATTCTCTCGCCGTGAAATGAATTCTCATTTAAGAGTGATGAACTGGCTATACTTCTCAACCGTCTTCTGTTACACTACGTATAGAAGCTGCGCACATTAGACATTTTGCAAGTCTCTTGAGCATTGTCAATTTGTTTGTGGATGGGATCGTAGAGCAGGTAGAATAGGCAGAGGGAATCAAAAATAAATTGAGGATGCGTTAAAAGTGTAAATTTAAATGACGAAAATAAGAAACATGCGATAATGAATATAGAGGAGATGTCAGTAAATAAATGTGGTTGGGTGGGTTGAGGGATCAAATATAATATACTTACACGTAGAAGGGACGGCACACACACAGGCATACAGCAGAACGCTAGAGCGTTCTTGTTACATTTTTTTGTGAACGCTAATGCCAAGCCCCTGGTGGGGATAGA